AAAAAAATCAGGGCATTCTTGAGTTTCCATATTGCCTTTGTCCTTCAGTTAGGAACACTCAAATTAACATAAATATAAAATAATAGAATCATAGAGTATCTCAAGTTGGAAGGGACCCATAAGAAGCAAAAATGTTTGGTCACAGAAAAGTGGAGCCATTGCAGACACAGAGAAAGAGAAATGCCAAATCAGAGTAAAATCCTTTCAGCTCTTAATAGCATGAATCAACCTGCTCCTAGGAAAAACCGTTTTTCTGGTTTAGTTTGTGGTTTTTTTGGCACAAATGAAGCCATCCTTGCAAGACCAGGTGATGTCCAGAAACATACACCAGTAAACACCTTCCTTTCACTATTCTGATGTCAAATTTCAGATCTCTGGTACTGAACACATGTGATGTGCTGCAGTTGCTGGACTCATAGTAATTATAGTTGTGAATATGAAAAAAAACCAAAGGTAGTAGTCCTCAATCAGTTGCTGTATTATCCTAAAATAAACAGTTTTTTAAGACAAACCTCAGTCCAAGATTTGATACGTTGCCTCATAGAGCCATTAACTTCTGGATACCACAGGAAATCCTGTAAAATAAATGCAGATTTTCTCTGTAAGCTTAAAGACACACAGTAGACAAACAACAAAAATTCAGAAAACCAAACTGATTGCCATCAATTCAACTGTAAAGGAAAAACATGAAAAATAATTCCTTTATTGTCAGCATGAAAAGCCTGACATCTCAGTCTAGCATGGAAAACAGGAACCTCCCCCCCAAATACTTTGACCCCAAGAAAAAAGAAGACATTTTCATTTGTAGTTCAGGACTTGGGATTTCACCAAGAAGGTAACTTTTTAATCTCTGCCAAATCAGACACCTTTAGGTTTTCAATACAGTAAAGGCTGAAACTAAGCTCCCATCTATAACTTACTTATTACAATCTGCTTTTTGTTCCATTTCCCAAAGTTTTTACCAACAGGGTTATTTTTCCTTCCAGAACTTTACATAACGTGATCAATAGCTTGAAACAAAAATAAATCCTAACACTTCATATTATCAATCCCTAAACTATCAGCTGTTTACATGCAATAGTTCCAAGGACACTAAAAGCATTATGTACTGACATTTTTTTGATGTCAGGAGTAGTGCCCAACCCTTATCCAGAAGGACAGTGCAGACCTCAGCTAGTGCCATTAAGCCTCCCAAGTAAAGCTGAAACTACCTAGCACCCGGTTACTCCTCAAGTGCACAAATGTCAAAAGGACTACGAATACACATTAAAGTGAAACGGCAGGGACTACATGTGAAGAAATTACTGCTAGCAAGCTTTGTAATACAAAACACGGAAACACTACTCGCAGAAAGAAAATCTTTATCTTCCACCTGCAGAGACCTAAAGACTTTGGTAGCTCACTTGAGTACTGTCAATTCACTATTTGGCAGGGATCTGTGAGCTATCAGGCAGCCATCTGCAGTGGCTGTAGGACAGAAGGGTCAGTGTGATGACTAGAAATAGCAAAATTAAACTCCCCCCTTGTTTCCAGTGATTTCCTCTTTTGCTGGTCAAGGATTTTCCACATTTAGATTTTTGGTTCACAGCTGTTCAGAATGTGAAAATTCAGCTGCCATGCCAATGCTGTCAGCAGCAATACGGCATCAAAATAAAGAAGCACCAGACTAGGAATATATTCTTAACTACCCAGACATCTCCGAAAAGCCCAAACCTGCCCTCTCAAATCTTGGTAGACACCTACAAAGGCTTAAGGAGTTTTGAAGATGCTGTTCTGTGTCAGGCTATGCCAACCTAAATCACATTGCAATGTCCCCTTTGTCCTGCCGTGTGTTTTGCCTCCTCTTTTCCAGCATTCACATAATCATATGATGAGCCACATCAGACCTGACCAAAAAAGAACCCTACAAGGCCTAAGGAGTTTTTGTCTGAATTAACTCCTAAATCAGCTCACCCCACAGCTGTACCGGGGCTAGTAACAGCACAAACACAGAAACAGACTGCGAAGGGCAACAGAGTGGGACAGCATAGTCTCAAATTGCCACGGAGTCACACTTCAAAATGTTATTCTGTACCCTAAATCTTCACCATGCACACAAACAAGTACTGAAAACTCACTTGCAGACAACTCAACAAATACAATGCTGCTTTGGTTTTGAGGAACAGAGAATGAGTTGTCTCCAGGGCGTAACCAAAGATATGACTGGCAGGATTCCAGCACTGCTGACAGCTGTCACGAGAAGCAAAGTGAGCTTCTGAGGACACCGGTTCAACTGCCAGGGCAGCGGAGAACAGAGTCCTTCACAAAGCCTACTCTCGCGTATCTTGTTTGTTCCCTTTTTAAAATATCCACATTATAATCAACATTGTGGTTATTTCCCCATGTGAAAACAGTGGAAAGAATACTTGCTGAGATAGCATAGAGAGTTCAATGATAATTACAGCAATTACTACTCCAAGTAAGTCAGCCTACATATTCTTGCAGCAGTGGAAGAGTAAACTTCCTGGCGAAAGCTATTCTTGGGAAGGCCAAATCATAAGAACTGACAAAAAGAAAAATTATGCATGCTTCCAGAGCTCATGCCCAAAGCTAACACAGAATACAAGCACTCAAAGGCAAAGTCTCTCAAAGAATCTTATTCAAAATATACTAATATTAATATATTAATATGCATTATTATGGCTTGCAATTTAATGCCAGATAAAAACTTACCACTTTAATTGAAGCAGATTTATCTTCAAAAGGGATATTTCCATGCTGTCAAAAAAACCCAAAGCAATAAAACTAAAGTAAGACAAACTTTCAGAAGAAGAAAAAATTGTTTACATTCATATGTTAATTTGCTCTCACTCAGAGGTTTATCTTCAGTAGAAAGGATTTTTCTTGTATAAACTTGTCAGCATACTCATGCAAAGTGTTTATGTTACTTTCTTGATAAAACAAGCTACTTGCATAAAAGGTTATTTTTCCTGGAAGAAATACATCCAAGTCTGAAACGCTTTCTGTTCACTCTGTTACAAAGGCATAAAACATTTTCCTAAATTCGGCCTCCCAAAATGAGACTTTTTTTTTCTTTCTTTCTTTTCTTACATTTCTTTTCCCCTAGCTTTCCTTTTCCTCTGCCCATCTTCTTTGCACAAAACAAAACAGTTTTAATTAAACAGTAGAAGAAAATAATCTCAGGAAGAAATAAAGTCTGAAATGCACTATTAAATTTGCAGGGTGAGATTGTAAGAAATCAGAAAGGATGTTGTCAGATGCTGCATACACAATCCTTCTTTATGTTGCTGAATACAGCATTAGTTTCAGTCCTGGTCCAGAAGAACAAGTCTATTTCTCTTCCACAAACTGAGATCTTGATTTCATAAATACTTGACAAAAGACATCTCTCGACTTAAAATAAATTAAAGCACTCATCACTTTTTTGGCACATCTGTGACCAAACCAATGCACAAGGAAAAGCAGAGTCATTTGATCCATCAAATGTCCTGTCCTGACAAGTGACAGTAACTGCGTGCTGCCTGCTGACCTGTGCCAGCTTGCACTCCTGAAGGACAGAATCCTAAACCATCAACAAATCTCATCTGCAGTTGAAAGTGAAATGTTTCTTTCTCCTCACATATGTACACACATCCATGAAGGGACACGCCTAAGCAGCATGATGTAACAAAAGAAATCAACATTCTGCTCAACAAATGATGCAGCTAAAACCTTTCTTACTGCTTCCACCCAGCAAGCTCCACTTTACATTCTTTACTTTACAAAATTCAGCAGCAATCAAAAGGAAAGTGAGACCAGAAGCTATTTGTCATTTCACACTCAAGTTAGACATGGAAATCTGTCATTGCGCCAAGGACTTTTATGAACAGATTAGATCAGCAATTTAACTGACATCTAAAATGACAAATAATAAAGCCACGAATTAACTACTATTTAAAAACTCACAAAGGAGCAATCATTTTCTCTTTAAGAAGCCAAATATGAAGCACAAGTTGCTATGGGACAAGTCAGCTTCAATCATTTATTCCCAGACTGCCGCAAGCTTTCTCTCGAGCTTCCTGGTTCACTTCTCAGATTCCCAATCATCTCCACAGTACCCAAACAATTATCTTGGCCTAATCTTGTTCTTCTCCAAAAGCCCTGTCTGTGGCTCTTCTTCCTGATGGGCTGGCCAGCAAATGGTATAATTTCTTGCTTTATGTCCAGAGAAGAGTTATGGCATGAATTAGGAAGAAAGAAACAAAAACATCGTCAAAATAAACTATCTCACCTTATTTCCTTCTTCTTTGACTTGAGGATTTATGAGTTTTATAAATGAATAGAAGAGCTGTCGAATTCTAGAATCTCCTATAAACACAATATGTTTGTCTATGAGGCAATTTTTTGCTTCACTGTAAAACAAAACAGCAACATTCATGTTAGAGGAAATTTGTATTTTAGGAAAAAAGTGTTTAGAAAATCTACAGAGCAATAATTCTAAGCATTATATGCAGCTTTAAGGAATAGTAAATCTGCTTTAAAACATGCTGAATTAATAAAAAGTTGAGTGTAATTTGCATAAAAATTAAAATGAACTCTCCTGCTAACGTGATTAGGCAAACAACCAAGCAGGCTTTTCTATTATGTGGTGCTAAAAACACAGTAGTTTCAAAATGGTAATATACAGCATAATTCTAAAAAAGAAAGTTCTCTTACTAGTATGTGAAAAAAGCAATTGCTAATTGTATTTGGGATTTTTTTTCACTTGTGATTCTACACATAAGGTTAGCATTTTCCCTTTCAGCAATCGGAGAGTGACATATAAAGCTATGCAGTCTCTCGTGGCTCTCCATAACAAGTATCAGTACTACAACCACCAACATTTATTTGTATTCTTTTTATAAATACACCATAGACACATGGATAATACACAGGAAGACCTCCTTCTGACAAATGCTGCATATTTTTGAAAGCCTAGAGCATCAACTATGAAGTAAAATACAGTTGACACTGGAATTACTACAGCTGCTGTCAAACAACGATTACTCCTCTTTCCAGGCAGATGAACAGAAAACACGAGTTTCCTTACCTAATTTTATACTTATGCATCATACAACTGTGGGGCTGCCATACTTTTTCTCCAAGAAATCTTCCACTGGACAGAAGATACTCACATGTGTCACCACCTTTAAAATGTTACATTAAGATTAGAATTCAGACACGTAAAAGTTAAAACATAGCCCCGTTGCTATTAAAAAAAACCAACAAAGACAATATTTGAAAACACAGGGATTAAAGCAATCAACAGCAGTAAACAAATGTAGCTTATTGTAAAAAACACCTTGCACAAGTTTCTGTAAGTTGCCTTCTCACTGATTATGCCACATTTCCCTGGAAATCACTCCTCTGCCCACAAAATGTTAGTGACCCCACTTCTGCTGTCAGAAAGATGTTGTGACCTGGAATGGCATCTCCACCAAAAGATGCCAATCCACTGTGCTAGCTACTATCCAGGACACACTAATATGAAATTAAAAAATACAACAGTTCAATATCATAATCTCCTATGCAGAGTCACCATAAGCAGCATCTTGTATAGAACACCGACCTCAACATGAGATTTGCAAGGAAGCTGACTACGTCTCCTTGCTTAAGACATAGCGGTCACCTTAGAACGGGTGAAATTACACACTGAGTTAATATGGAAAACAAGAAACATTTATACGAGAATTTGCTGATCATTCTGAAATGCACTGACCTTTTCCAGTCAAGAAGTTTTACACTGATTAAGATGAATTAACTTACAGGTGGTGATGTCTCCACTCACTTTAAGTTCATATAAATAAAATAGTTATGAAATCAGTGTCTCTTATCTTCCAGCAAACTCCATGTCAGATTCTGCTGCCTTATAACTGAACACCACTGAACGCTGTTCACTGCACCAGAAGTTGCCCTCCAACATTTTTGTCATATTTGACATTTCAGAGCACTGACAAACAGGCAAGTGATGGTGAACAAAATGGCAAGTACCTGTTCTAGCTTGTGCAGAAACAAGGTATTACAGCTCATACTTAATACTTCCTGTGAAACCTTCAGTTCATTACACTCAATGAGAGCTGGTCTTGTACTCCACTGAAACTTGCACTAATCCTAAGGAACAGGGCATTTTCTACCTACTAATTATTTTCAGAGCTGCTGGAAGCCACACATTACAATGAGACAGACTTTCTGCTTCAAATACGATGAGAAAATCTGACACTTTATCTAGAACTGCAAATTAGATATGAACAGAAAGAGATGCAAGCAAGCGTGAGGTTTGATGTCTGTAGGAATGGGAATTTACAAGGCACTGCTGGTGTCTACTGAGACCCAAGCTCATGGTCCTCAAAGATCAGTATTATAGTGAAGCTTTTAGAAAAAAGAAATAGAGCCATTGTATCACTTCCCTTGTGCTTAAACAAAGGCTCCCACACCACCACAGTCCAATCATTTTTATTTTTTAAAGAAAAGGTATACCAGATAAAGACAGACTTTCTGCGTAATATTCCGGTAAGAAAACATCCTAAGTCATAGTCCTAAGATCACAGAGAAAGTTAGTTCTCATACGAATTGAATCAGCTCTTGGTTTTGCTTTTGGGTTTTTTGCATTGGACATAGGATAATTTGGGAAATTACTTATTTCCATAATTTCCCAATAGTGGGAAGAATGACAATAGTACCTATAAACATTTTAGATCTATGGGTAACAAAATTCAGGAAACACTAATGATTACTTGGATGATAGAAACATCATCTGTATTTCCAACAAATATGGAACTAGGATCCTTACAATTTTTCACGATCACAGATCTTTCCAGGTCATTCTGGCATTAACATTGGCAATGATGCTGCTACTCTGTGAACTGATACTCAGCTGCCTGCTCCTTCACAATCCACCCAGAAAAAAACCAAAAGGTAAGGCTCCCATCCATGAAGCTGGGAAAATGGTACAAAAAGCATTAAACAAAACACTTGTTTAAAATACAGCTGACACCCTAAACTCTTCATTTTCTCTTACTTCAAAACTCCAGCTTTCTCCTACTTGGGATGCATTGAGAACATCTCAGATATAGAAGTACAGACAATGCAGCTCATGCATGGTACTTCTTGAAAGAGTATAAAATTAGCTGGGAGGAAGGAAGAAGTGATAGCCTCTATCCCTGCCTTCCTCCCTGAAACTCCTCCTACCTGTTTCCATGAAAATCAGAAAACGGGAATGTAGAACAGACAGCATTGTAACTGTTACTCCTGGGCTCATTTATCCAACCAAACCCAGCAGCAGCAACACACTCAAGTAGTGTTATTTACCATGATCTAAGGTTCCTCATTCCCTCATTTCAAAATGCAGTTCCAACAGCCAGACTTAGTTCTGTTCTGTTCTGGATCTTTAGTTACTTACCACTGATCTTGCATTGTGACTACTAAAACAACTGGAATACCACGAAGAATTACAACATTCTTGAAAAAGTTCTGGATAAACATCCCAGAGTCACAGCTTTGGGTTTGGGTTGGTTCTCCATGAGCAACCCACACATGACATACTCCTAAGATAAATCTGCTTTATTAAAACCGTCATTCTTTACTCCCTGTCTCTCCGTTTCGGGAGCTCTTGCTCAGGCATCTGCATAGATTTGATGCATAGAAAAAAATGTGTTAAAAATTTAAATAAAATATATACATATAAGCTCCTATTTTTCTCATCAATAAGAGTCTATTAATCACCCCAGGGTAGCTCAGGAACTCCCTCAAATTGGCCAGTAACCTCTCAAGCAAATCCTTGAGACACCACAAATCAAACTGACACTTCCTTCCTAATTGCAGTGCACACACACTGTCCATGTCAAACCGATTAATAACTGCACAGCAGTAATGGGATGTGGCAAATGGCTAAACAGAGAGGGCCACAGGCTTCTGACCATTTAAACAAGCTCTCGTAACACATGCTGAGACCACAGATGTAGGCTGAACTCAAGAGGTTTCCAGAAAGGCAGCCTCTGTAACTCTGCTGTTTTTCAGCCAGTACGGGTCACTCCAGGTAAGCAACATCATCTTTTTTCCAGTCAGTGCCTGTTTCATTATTCAGTGCAGTGCTACTTCTGAGCAGATTAAAGATCTTCCAGAAGCAGTTCATCATCCTCTCTGCTCCTTTTTCAAATGCTGCTACTTGCAAGACAGCTCCTGATCCTGCTGCCAAAACTCCTGCAGAAGTATCTCAGAACACAGCAAATTACCTAAAAAGCTGAATCTTTACCTTTTTTAAAAACTATGTTGTCATAGCTCAGATTTGCTGAACAGACGTCTTTCTGGTAGAAACCATAAATTCAGAATTACCATAGTTTTCAGTTTTTATTGTTTCAAATAAAATCACTCTTCAAGCAACAATTTCCTTGATTCTCAAACATACACATTTACGTAAACTATAATTTACAGTAAGTTGCATGAAAAAGAAACTGTCAGAAATAACAAAAAACATTCTCAAACTCGTGTTGCTTGTGATTACATTCTGAGAATAGGTAACTTACAGTTACTATAGCTACTGCTACAAAGCCCTCCACTTTGCAGAGGATGAAAATCAGATATATTACAGTGATGCAAGAGTGAACTATGTAGAAGAAAATCCACCACTAATTACACTCCCTCTGAAATAGATTACCTTGCTGAGGAAGATGGACAAGAAAATAAGGTCAGTTATCCACGGTCAGTCTAGCCTGGTATTCTGCCTTCAACAGAGACCATATGCAGATGCTCCAATATTCTTCCAAGTTCAGTCCAGGTACCTCCTAAGCTGGATGTGGTTTCTATGAATTCTGTAGAACTTTCCACAGTTTCTTTCTGACAAAGAGATGCAGTCTTCTCTGCAGTTTTTTAGCATTCACAGCATCCTTCCTCACGAGTTTCCCATACCACAGCTGCTGCCTTTATTTTATATACGACTTCTACTAGATTTACTTGGCATTCTCTAGTTCTGGCACAGGAAGATATAGTTTGCACTTAGGTCTCTCATGACTTGCAGGCCTCTACCAATCCTTCCTCAATCAGGTTTTCAAGACTGATGAATCTTAGTTTACTAACCCTTCACAGGAGAGCACGTTTCGTATCTTGAGGGCACTCCCAGCATAATTACCCACAAATAAAACAAACTTTCATCCTACAGTTTGTTTACTGAAGTAACACTCCAAACATGACACTTTGTATACATTACCATGATAATACAGAAGTCTATTATCTTTTATTTTCATCAAGTGTTGCACTTAGATACACTATGGTATGGTTATATAAGGAGTATAAATTCTGTTAATTTTATTACGCTCATTATTATCATTTATCACTCCTCAAAAATCATGTTTTTTCCAGGGAATCTGTAAAATCTCGAAGTCTTCATTTAGTGAGAGAACAGCCTATGCTTCACAATACCTTCTCCAAAAAGCACACCTTTTATTTCAAAGGCATGGAAATTCAATTGTTCTCTATTATGCAAAATAAATACGTAGTTTTAAACAGGGTCTATCAGTGCTGATTTTAAGAACGCAAAAACATAAATAAAAACTTATTTCCAACAAGGATTAGGACTGTACCTTTGAACTATAATAACAACTTCTTCAGTTATTTTTTCAGAACTAACTTCACTGGTTAGTATATAAACATTTAGTGCAATTGGCTTCACAGAAGCTGTATGCAAGTTAAAGGCAGTCTTTAACTGTTCTTAGTCCGCTTTAAGTTTTGCATAAAATGTAGGTGACCCCTAAAGATGACAGTCTCCCTGAACATGAATTTGACCTTCCACAATCCCAGTCCAGCATTTTTTCATACAACTAACTTTTATATAGGCAAGTTTTACTGGGAAGTGCAGCGGGCTGCTCCTATTTATAACATGTATTTGCATGATTGAGGCCAAAATTAGTTGAAACCTTTACATGTAAAGACAATCAGACAAAACAAGAGAGTTGTAAAATAAAGTCTCAGCCATCCAAAAGCTCTCAGAGAAATGCAAGACAAAAAGAACCTCTTTACAAAACATATGCATATTCTTAACTTTAACTGATGCCTTGTGAACTTTTCAATATTGCAGTGGAAGAAGAAAAATAGATGGCAATCTGCACAGTGGGTTTCTAAACTGAGTGAGAGAAACTTGGCTAACAAAAAGTGAA